TTGAATCACTAGTAGTCATGGTGACAGTTCAGCAGAAGGTGGATTGCATGTTGTGGCCCATGCAGTTGAAATCCATTACATGTGGCCAGCTTAAGTTCCAGTTACTGCACATCAGCCTGGCACCAAACTACAACTCCATTAAGAAATGGAACAGATGTCTGAGAGAAACTGAAGTACTGTAAAATCAGATACTGCCAGGACATCCAAGGATATCCAACAAAGACCAGAAGTACATTAGACAATGCAGCCCATGCAAACTGCTTTGCACATCAAGGTGGCAACTCTATTCTTCCCACTCCACATTTCATAACATTGTACATGAACATTTACATTCATGTGCATACAAGCTGTAGTAGTGCAAGCATACTAAAGCAGCCAACCATGACTGCAGGAAGAGTGTTTGTCAGGAAATGCTGCAGAAAATCAACAGTCTTGATATCTTCCTGTATTATGTGTGTTTTCTACTGAGGCAACATCCCATCTGAAATGTATTGTGAACAGACATAACTGCAGAATCTGGAGTAGTCAGCCACCTCAAGAAATCAGTGAACACCAAAGGATCACGCCACAGGTTAATGTGTGGTGTGGTATGATAAAAGATCATATCACTGTAGCTTTCTTCTTTCAGGAAGCAACTGTGGCAAGCCATTCATACGTGGACACGCCAAAACACCATGGTGCCACAGCTGCCTTGTGAAGTATGATTCCAGCAGAAAGAGTGCTGCCATATTCTGGAGGTATGGGGATGTGCTAGCAAAACCAATATTTCCATAATCCAAAGATGTCAATCAAAGATACTACGTATGATTACTAACACCCCATGGTATGTTTCCAATATAACACTTGATGAAGACCTGAAAGTGCCGCTAGTGAAGGAAGTCATAAAAGGGAAAATGCACAAGATACCTCAACAAAATAGAAGGACATGAGAACATACACTAATGCAACCATTACTGGAACCACACATTGGACAAAGACTAAAAAGGAATTGGCCAGCCGATCTGAGAGAGGGTTAACGAGGACTTATCCCTGGATAAGCCCTCTCCACGTCACGAAGAATACTACAGCAAATTAGCTTATAGAATCAAACATAATTCTGATTGCTAATATTATGTAAATAAAGAAAAAAATATTTTGGAGAAACTCCCCCTCACTTTTAAAACGAATGCTTTCTGAATATATGGACAAAAGAGGTGGTTTCCTAGCATGGCCCGCATATCTTGGATTATCTGTGGTTTTGATTATTCCTGCATCTCTTCCCCTTCATTAGCACGGATTATGTGGAGTAAACTGTATATATTCCTCATAACCATGTTTCATTAATTACCATCATGCCACCAGCTTGATTCAATAAACTGTGGATGAGCGACTAAAGAGCAACGGACAGACTTTTCTAAAAACGGGTCAAGATCATCTGTCAAACACGATCAGAGCTAGATAAATGGATAGAGAAACAAAGAAAACTGGATGATGTAAGTATTTCACTTGGGAGATAAATGTACATAATTACATGAATAGAAAAATGAATAAGATGAAAGCAATGTATCCCATTAAACTCTGTAAACACTTCATCTAAAGCAGGCATGTCTGTCGATCACGGGACGATTTTTGGTCGACCTCATAGGCCTATAAGGAAATTATACGTGAAAAGCATGTAAATTCACTTGTAATATGATTATATTCAGATTTTGAAGGGAAAATACATATTAAAGTAGTCTGTACTTTCAATGTATGTTTTTTTTACTGCTAGTGGGGTGGGACTAAGTCCCTTGTACTGTGGCCACTTCTGGCTTATTGTACTAGCCCCATATGATAGGTGAGGGTGATTGTGGAGCAATTGGGGGAATGAAGATTGGCAGGGGAACCGAAGTACTCGGAGAAAACCTGCCCCAGCGCCACTTTGTCCACCATAAATCCCACTTGACCAGATCCGGGATCGAACCCGGGCCGCCGTGGTGGGAAGCCAGCGACTAACTGCTTGAGCTATGGTGCGGCCATTCAATGTATGTTGCTTTTACAAATAAATATCATGTGTTGTGTTATTTTTACCAATATTCCTGCTTAAAGCGAGGTATGGTGATAGGAGGGCGTGGTAGATCACTGGCAGTTTTGACACTAAAAAGTCGATCACAAGCTGTTTGAAGTTGGATATACATGATCTAAAGCAAAAGAAATAACATATAAATTCTTTACCATCCACATAATAAATTCCTTAAATTAGCTCACTCCTTCTTTATGTGTACAATAATGCCACAACAGAAAACAAGGTTTAGAGAGTCAATGGTTTGGAAACCACTCCATTTCCTTATCACGGACATTAAATCATCCACAAGCTTTTACAATAATCTGAATATCTCAAATCATTGCAACCATTCAAGTGCCAGTACTGAATTTGTTCTAAACGAACAATGTTTACAAGTCAAATACAAAAATTGAAACCCACAGGCAAGTTACAACTTTCAAGTCATCTGTTGAGTTCAGAACAAAATTCATGAAAATCATATTATGGGTCAATGTTAACTGAGTCCCAGTGACATTGTATAATATCTGGGGGGGGGGTGGGGAGAATTTAATCTGGCCCTAGTTAGGTCATGTACACAAATTAAGGGGAATAAAAAAGAATTCCGTG